CTCTCTCTCTCTCTTTTACTTTCTCATCTTCTCTCGCTCTCTCTCTTAGTCTCTCTCTCCTCGCCCTCTCTCTCGCCATCTCTCTCTTTCCGCCCCTTCACTACAAGTCGATCTGCTGATCACTCAAGCCGCAAATGCACCCACGCCTACAATCCCTTGCAGAATGATAGCTTGCAGGAATCTCCATCGCTCGGACTGCCTAGGTTAGCATTGGCGATATATGCACATGCCTGCATGATCAAGATTGGAGCGGATAATGGATTTGATCACGCGAATCGAAGACCGCCTTATAATCATCAAGCTCGTGCTCGTGCGGGAATGTTTACTTATAACATGTGCTATCAAGAAGCCGGGCTCCAGAAGACCTCCTGGCCAACAGGAGCCCATGCACGGCTGTCTGTCGGATGACAGCAGCTTCGACACCAGCCCACTCCTCATGATCACCGTAAAGCGATAGCTACAGTGACCTCCTAATTTGAACAAAGATACTCTGATCACCTTCTTCTTCGTCTTCTCTCCCAGGATGCAGTATCTCTGCGCCAAAAGCATCAAGACTTCCTCCCAGCAGATTTACGAATTTATTAAGCTAGTGTTTACTGAATATTGCGAAGTAGAACCAGCCCTAGCCTGATGGCAGCTCATCAAAGGAACTTGCACACCAAACGTGGCGTAGTACTCGGCGAAAAATTCGTAGTGTGCTTCAACCTGCAGTTTCTCAACTCCCAAACTGATCGATTTATTTTGAGAGTTAACATTATCCGAGACACCATTTCCACCGAGTCGGCTCCTTGGGGAACCACACTGAGGATCGACTTCGCCTGGGATAGATAGGAAAGGCCGCTATTTTTTATTATATTATATACCTGTCATGCACACTCAGTTCCAGCAGGCCTTGTGCTTTCTTATCGACGGGAGTCGCTCAGGATCTTCAATGAGGTAGGAGTTCATGAAGTCCTGATTACAAGGATGTTGGGTGCAATCTTATAAGCTGATCTTACCACCTCGAAGAGCAACCGCTGCAGCTCTCGCAGCTCGTCTCGATTGGCACTTGCCATGCTACACCTGCATTCCACACCAGGCACGACACGTTTACTTATGTGAACTTCTCCGATCCGGCCTGGCAGAACCCGACGAGGCTCAACCAACCCGTCTGGAAAACAAGCCAAATGCTGAGGACACGATCGAACCGAACAATCGATAATGAGCCCTACAACATTCCTGATCATCGATCTGTGCAATCATGCAGCGTAAACAAAGCTGCACAGGCGGGGGTGTGCCTGAGCATTTCCATGCTGGATCCTCAGGAATATATTCATCGTCGTCCCTGGCTGACGATAAAAACGGATCCCCCCGTCGGGGCGATCTCGAGCGCCTATGCGGCAACTCTTCCAGCAGACCTGAACTTCGATGTGATGTGCACACTATAACCACGTCCACATGGTGCCTAGCTAGTCGTCGAGTAGCGAGAAAAGGCACCACGTCGCATCGCGAAACCACATGCTCGCCATGGCAGCTGTGCTGCACCCACAGATATCTGATTAAAAAGTCTGCACGAGCCCTGCACATGTGGTCGACTCTGTAGATCTCTACACGATCTCTCTCTATATATAGAACCCAGGCATAGACTGGCCTAGTACGACCACATCCATTCGAATATACGACCCTGCTGGGATAGAAGTAGGATGACGACGACAACGCGGTCTGAAGCTGGGTCTATAATTCGACGCCCGACCTTCAGCTTGGGTCGACGTCTTGAACCAAGCCCCCTTATAGGTGTCGGCAGGAGCAAAGCGAATCCATGCAGTTTACAATACGACTAACTTAAAGTGCACAAAATTCATAGACATTCATGGAGCCCACCCCTCTGTTCCATGAAAGTTCAGGAAATCTGCATTCATGTAAATCATCATGAATTCCCAAGACATTCCAACGTAGGCCGCATTTGAAGACTTGGAGCTCCCGGGTATTCTAATTATTAAGGCCCCTACATTTCATCCTTGAGTTTGGTGCCCTTGCAGAGGTCAGACCTTCGTTGCGGGACCACATGCAGGCAATGGCATGCCATGCTTGGTTGGACCAGATTTCGCTTGTAATTAGGGTTCATGCTCTAGGCAATGTCTAACTCCGGGCGAAGTGGAAAGCCTGTTGCAAAAGGCGACATTTCCATTCAGGTTAGCTTTCATGGGGGTGGGGGGCACCAAACCATGCCAGGCACACAAACCCCAAAGCCCTGAAACTGTACAGTACTTCCTGAAGCTGCTGCAGAATTTACAAGTTGCAGCAGGAAGCACATATCGATAAAAAGCATTTAGACAAGTGTGCGTGTGTGCGTACATTTGTATAAGGTATAGATTTCCTACATGCATGCATACATGCTGACGGACATACAACAAATATAAGCTTCGGCGGGTTCTCGTCAAGGTGCGCACCTGCAGCACATTTCCACCGGGCAGGCGGGCATTTCGGGACTTGCAGGACAACTTCAAGGGTTTGCAGTTTGAGATACTCCTGGTCGTCGATGCATGGCAAATGTAGAAACGCCAAAACTCAAGGGAGCGTTGGGATTGATGTCTCCCTCCCTTCTCTCCCTCTCTCGCGCAAAGCCGAGTTCTCGTTGCGGGTCTTCAGCAGTTTGGGAAAGCTGTACGGTGTTTGGATCTGGCGAACCAATGCCATGTTTAGAAGCTGATTGTTGTGGATACTGTATTGTGGTGGTTCTTATTATTGTCATTACTTGTTCTTAGAATATATGACATGACCATGTTGATGCCAGTGTTCAGTCAGATAGTCATAGCAGAGCCAAGTCTTCAGTGCTTTGCCACAGCTCGCACGTCTGGCTTTGGCTGCGGGACGTTTTGCCCGGCTCTCAGGCATATTGTCCATACCCGTCCCAGTGAGCACGTGCACATCGGCTTATGCCTGTGTCTGCCGATTGTCCCTAAACCCTACATAAACCCTAAACCCTAAGCCGTTTCGATTCAGGCATGTTCAATTAGGATCGAATCTGCAGTTTCGGTCAAGGTGTTCAGAGCTCAGGCTTTAGGGTTCGGGGCCATTTCGCTCAAAGCGTGGGGAGCCCGAATCCGGAGTCCGACATCCCGTTCCAGAATTCGCCCTCCCGCATCAAACCTTGCCCACTACACTATAAGTTCAGCATGAAATTCGAAAGACTCGCGAAGAAAGCTCGGAGCAGGAACAGTAAACAAACACTGCTAGAATTGCAACAGCAATACTATCAGTCAACAATCACCGTAGCAAAACCTCAAACCCTACACCCTACATAACCCTAAACCCATGACAAATATGAGGAGCCTCGCCTGCCGAGTGCGAGAGTGAGTGTCGAAATCACCCCATCCGTTCTGTAGTACCGACCATGCCGCCTGCGAACCATGAACCTCATCTGGCGAGTCCGAGCTGTGAGAGCGTAAACCACCCTGCACGTGAATTTCAAGGGTCCTAGGTTCTGTTAAGGGGATAGCTGCCCAAATCACAGTTATTCTTCCGACTACAGAAACCCTACATTCTACTATATCGGTGCTTAAAGCCAGACCCCTTCAGGGTCAGCAGAGCCTAGCTTCGGCTGCGTTGGCTGAAGCGGTGCGCCGCACAGGAGCTGAACACAGCCCCACTCTGAGAGATGGCGGGGTTCTTGGGCTTTAGAGCTTGGGTTTTATAGGATTTTGAGACATGGCTTAAGGCTTTCGGGTCAAGGGTTGTAGGTTCTCGAGCTGCATTACTAGTAGCATGTGTTAGCTCGGCCGATCGTGCATTCCAACCCGATGCCTGAGTAATTAGAGGCCTTGACCTGCGATGCTTCAGCTTGTCTGGGCATGATAAAGACTCTCAACGCCCCGTTGTGCTCAGAGGGTTGGGGCTGCTGTCGGCGTTCGTGGCTTTTGGGGGGGTAAAGACTCTCAACGCCCCGTTGTGCTCAGAGGGTTGGGGCTGCTGTCGGCGTTCGTGGCTTTTGGGGGGGAGCCATTATCTTGAATGGAAGTGGAACCTGCGGCACAGGATACGCTATCATTGTCAGGCGAGAACATAGCTATGGTGGTTGCGGCGGGGATTACGCGCCGCCACCCCCACACACAAACACACCCACACACACAAGCACACACACACACACACACCAAACCTTCCTCTCGCTGCAGGTGAATTGCAACCCTTCGAGTTGGCACACCTCTCTTTTGCCGCGCGGGGCCCGGACCGAAGGATCCTCTTCGTTCCTGGGAGGGTTTGTAGTGGATCACCACACAATGCTCGGTTATGTAAAGAAAGCATCCTACGTTCATAGGCCATTAATGGGCGTCTAGGACAGGGTCTGAGTCTTCACCGCTGGGGCTGGCATCGGTTTCACAGTTGTCTTCAGCTACTGAAATTCGAGACGTGTGAGTATGCAGCAACGTTTTGCTTTGGTTTGTCGTGCAACGTAGTTCTTTGTACCCTGGCAGTGTTTAGGAGAGAAAGTTCCGGCTTGCGCTTTACTGTTTGATGAGCCTGGTGTCTGTTTTTGTTGCTGGTATCTACCACACAAAACAGCAACAACGATGAGCTGGATCAGACTTTACTACTCCCGGAAGCCTACTGCAGGGTCGCGGCCTTTGTAAGCCCCAAACTCATACCACAATCCACTCCAGCCTGTAACTAGTATCATCAAGCAGCGCTAGGACAGGGGGCTGGGGCTTCGCAGGTTTTGTTTTGTGTATCGAGAGGCAGCCCTGGTGAGCCTGGTGGACAGGCAAGAGATGGTTTAGGGTTTTGGGTTTTGGGGTTTAGGGTCGAGGCTTTGGCTGCTTGCTCCAACTCCGGCCGAAGTGGAAAGCCTGTTGCAAAAAGGGATTTAAGGGTATCGGGTTGAGGGTATGGGACTCCGGCAGAGCACGTCACTGGTATCATGCGGGTCCAAAACGGACACTTATTTTAGGAACCGAGTCGTTTCGGATGTAGGGTTAGGGGGAGCGTGAGCGGTGTGGGCTTCAGGGGTTGTGGTGGATATGGGATGAGGGTATGAGAGTGTGTACCTGGCACTTCTTGGAAGTTTGTTTCGTGCTTTCAACCTTATGGCAAGTTTGGGTCTGGGGTTGGCCTTGGAGTTGTTTGTCTGGCTTGCGGGCAGCAGAACATCCAGACACACAGATCGTAGTAATTCGTATGTTGACCTGCGCCGGTATACGAGGCACAATTTTGCTCAAGGCGCGCGCCATCAGAGTGCTCGTCGACATCCTCGTCCCGGCTTCTTAGCCGAACAGCCTGTTGCACTTCAGACGGCTTTTCACGCGCCGGAACAGATCATGAAAGGGATTCACCACGTAGTTTCACGTTTTGCTTACGACCACCTCGTACTAGTGGTCCAGCCTGGAACTCTATCGGTCTATCGTTTGAGCCGCAACCCCCACCTCGCACAAACTGCTTCTCAAAGGCTCCCAGCTCCAGCTGAGCTTTACGACATTACGAGTCCTTGGGTATGTCCCTGCCCGTGGGTTCAACAAATCCGCCCCACCTGGGCTTCGGATTCCGGACTAACAACTCAGGTCCTTAGCCAATACGCATCTTCGATGCTGCACCATGAAGGTTCCTGTTGACTGATGGGGCATTTTCAGACGGCTTATCAGAAATCACATTGGTGCAGTTACATGAGTGCTTATCCATGTGCGACTGCAACCGTGCGCATGATTTGTTTGTGCATTTTTGTGTTCACCGTGTCGCACAACAAGGCCATGACGAACGCCGCAACCCGCCGGTCTCCGGCACTGCTTCCCGGGGTGGTGGCCCTCGTTGCCTGTTTGACAGTGGGACGCCTGGCCGCGCAGGCCGGCTTTCTGAGGACTCTTCTTGTTGTTGATTTTGCAAGGTGACATTTGTGAGAACTTCGGGTTTGGGGTTGACATCTGAGATATTCAGACCATGTCTTACACCAGGGAGGCCAGAGGCCCCATGACCCGAAGGGCTTAAGCCCCGCGGTACCTCGGGGTGCAGACATTGCACGGGAGGGTGGGGAGAGCGGGGGTACTGTAGTGCTTCTTCGCGACTTTGCCTTGGACTTCAGAACGTGCGCACTTGGTAGGTCTGAACTCCCTAAACCTGAAACTTTGCCTGCCTTGTGCGAGTGTTCGAGTCGAAACCCAAAACCCTTAAACCCTGAACCTTACCATGAGGAGTGCCCCGTAGCAGCGTGTACTGCGACTACGAGAACAATGCATGATTTCATATCAGCAGAGAGACAGAGAGAGAGAGAGAGAGGGAGAGGGAGGGAGAGAGAGAGAGAGGTATATATATATATATGTATGTATGTATGGTATGTATGTCAGTCGTGTTTTATTGTAACCGTGCTTGCGTTCATGTTTGCGTGCTTGTTCACCTAAGTTGCAACAATACTGGACTGCACTTGCTGCTGCAGAAATAAGCATGATCAGGGGAAACTGTCGCACTTACCTCAGAGAGTAGCCCTTTTGTTGCAATTGTACTATGTGTTTTACTGGAGCCCTCGATATGCAGATCACAAATCATAGAGTCATAAAGGGTGTCCCAAAGCAAGCACTGTAGGGGAACCTCTTGCAAGTGGTCCTGCACGTATCTTGGCTGTAGTTGCTATAGTCGTTTGTTGAAGCTCTAGGTATTATATCAGAACTGGTCCACAAGCAAAGATAATGTTCCCACAACCTTCACGTCCCCTCAACGCCGCATAACACATGGTGGGGGGCCAGAAAAAGAGAAAGCGAGAGAGAGAGAGAGAGAGCGAGATACATATATATATATATATATGTATTATATATATATATGTATATAGAGAAGATATATATATATATATATGTATATATGTAGAGAGAGAAAGAGATTGAGAGAGGGAGGGAGAAGGAGGGAGGGAGAGAGCGCGGGCGACCGAGAGCGAGCCCAGGGGCCAGCAGGGGACTTGGGGCTTGAGGGTTCCTATAGGGTTTAGGGTTTAGGGTTTAGGGTTTAGGGTTGAGGGTTTAGGGTTTAGAGAAGGGAATCACGAGGCTCAGGGTAAGCAGGGCCGACACTGACCTACCTCAGCAGAGCTAGGCAGTTAGAATAGGGTTTTGGGCTACTTTATATGTAGGGTACTTATAATTAATTATAGGGAACCTAATTATAGGGAACCTTAAGGAAAACTGGAATTTAAATATTTAGGCTTCTACAGAGGAGGGCGAGGGGGTTTTGAGCTCAGTCGGGGATGGGTGTCGGAGTGTCGGGTCCCTTTTTCACGCTGACACGACCTTGGACACCGGGCGACTGCAGGCAGCTGAGGTAGAAGAGGCCTCGCGCCTTGAGCCCCAAAGGTCCATATCAAACCAGAGAAATAAAGTCGACGTATATTTAGAAACAAATTGGTAGAAACATGCATGGTGCGGTGTTTTCCACAGGGGCTGGGCTTCGTTCCCTCCACTCCGTCCACATCGCTTCGAACACGAACTGCGCCACGCGTGGCTTTGGCGGCTTCCATGCGAGACAGTGAGGGTGCGGGAGCCCAGTCATGTTGGATTAGGTGTCCAAGTAAGAGCTTTGCAGCATTTCTCCCAATCTTCCTGCAGATGAAGGTTCAATGTCACACACACCAGAACCGCGAGAAGTGAAACGCTTACTTCGTTGTTACCCGAAACATTTTGGATGGATGAGAAGAACTTCATGATGCCCCGTTCCTCTCTAGGCTAAGGAGTTTTACTATCTTGACTTGGCTTTTCTTCGTTGCCTTTGTCACATAGAGTTTCTGGTTACTTGCATGCTTCCATTTAGGCTTCAGATGTCTCTGGATGTTGGTGTGGCTCTTGTCACTGCCTCCGCCTGTCGGGTTTTGCGTCAGGTTTCATCGTTCGAAAGTTGCCATTGTCTTTGTCTTACTGCTTCTTTTTGGCAGCATCTTGCTTCACATTTTCCCGCTCTGTGAGTTTGTTTGCATTGTCTTATGCCGCTTGCTTGCTCCTTGACCCCAGATTCTCAAACCTGAGCCTTGAGCATAAAGTAGTAAAAAGTGTCCCTCCCAGGCAACAAAGTTCGGGAGCCAAAGACCTTCGATGCCTCCGACGCCTCCAGCGTAGCAGGTTCAGTTACGGTGGAGCTCCTCGGACGGAGTAGTGGCATGTAGTCGATCCCCAACCGTGTCTTCGTGCATGCGTCTCTTTGTATGTATGTATGTATGTATGTACGTATGTATGTATGTATGTATGTATGTATGTCTGTATGTAAATAAGTAAGTAAGTATGTAAGTAAGTACGTTTGTTCGTTCGTTCGTTCGTTCGTTCGTAAGTAAGTAAGTAAGTAAGTAAAGAGTAAGTTGTAAGTAAGTACGTAAGTAAGTGTGTAAATATATACATCTATAGAAAGAGAGAGAGAGAGAGAGAGAGCGAGAGACAGATTCTTGTTAATTCAATGTATTTTCATTTATTTAATCTGTTCATACCTAGTATGCCCGTATCACAAACATACCAGCACAAAGCCCGAGTCGCATGGGGGTGTATTAGTGCCCTAGTGTCTCTGTTTTTGTCTCTCCTCTCTATGTAAGGACCGTCCCGAAAGTTACTGGAGTTTGCTCGATATTGGATCGGGCGGGCCTCTCCCATGCTTTGGCACGCATATATGTTTTCGGGGTGCTGACGTTGTGTGTGCTCAGCTTGAAACTGTCCCGAACGGTCTATTGCACGAGTCCACCATACTCAAGCATCGTTGGGTCCATCACGGAGGTTGTGGTCGGGGAAAGCATGCAACTTGTGTCCGGGAGTCCACCGATCACTCAAGCCATATCTGTTCACATACCTTCTTGCACAAACACACACACACACACACAGACAGAGACAGACATGGATGTGTGTGTGTGTGTAATAATCCAGAAAGACAGACATATACATATGTACATACTTACATGCATACATACATGCATACATACATGCATACATACATGCATACATGCATACATAAATACATACATACATACATTCGTACATACATATACGCACATAAACACTCTCAAGTAAACATACACTTAGAAAGACATATGCGATACATGCAGATTAATGTGCACAAGCAAATGTGCATACGCAGGTATAACTTGTAACTGCATGTATACTGTATGCGTGTAGACACATGTGCATACCTTTCTAGATTCTAGTGCATATATATCTATCTGTCTATCTGTCTATCTATCTATCTATCTGTCTATCTGTCTATCTATCTATCTATCTATCTATCTATCTATCTATCTATCTATCTATCTGTGTGTGTGTGTGTGTGTTGGGCAGGGAGCGAAAGCGACCAAAAGCGAGAGAGAGAGAGAGAGGTAAATACGAATATAAAAGCAACAACATACAAACATAACAGCACGGAGCACGACAGAAAGCTGCCATATGCACAGTTTTCGGAAGATGAGATTTCAAGATGAGGTACAAGAAGAGGCCCTTCGGCGTGCTCGCCTACGCCCCGAGCACCAGTGGAAAGGGGGCCATGGTCTGGAATATGAACGAGAACTCCCGGTGCCCTGCGTACATCTTCCGTGCTGGTTTCGTACAAACCTACAATTGTCTTTGATACCTTATTAATAAGCAATAGTAGCAAGAGAAGCCCCCCCCCTCCCGTGCATATTAGTGATAGAGTTTCGTGCAGACGGGTTTTTGGGTTAGACCGTGCAGGCTCGCCTGTGCCCATGCGAAAGCAGGAACTGCATGCGACCTCTAAGACGCGTGCCCCTGTTGGCAAGCTTCGTTACATTGATGGCTCCCTTGGATCTGCTACTAGCTTCTTGACCGCGTCACTTGTGAGTGCAGTCGCGGCCAAACCCGAAGTCTTGTTTCTGATCCCTAAATCGTGAAGTTCTGCCTCTAACCCGAAGTCCTTCCTCTAACCCGACAAGCACTACACCCTGGACCCAAAACCCAGAGCTCACGCGCCTCAACACCCTGAACGAACCCCAAACCTCTAAACCCTGAAACCAAACAAACCTTGTAAAACCCTTTGAAGCCCCGAAACCCTAAGCCCTTTAACGCCCTAAGCCCTGAACCCTAAAACCCTAAACCCTAAAACCCTAAACCCCTTAAAGCCCTTAAACTCCTTAAAGCCCTTGACGACCCAAAGGCCCTGACCTCCTCCCTCGCAGGTATCCTGGTGATCCCCAAGGTCAGGCCTGGACCGGCGGCGTGAAGCAGTACATGGCGGTGACCCGGCCCGGCAGTGATGCTCTGAAGAGTTACCCATAGGCCCCATAGTAGTTCCTTTTGATATTACCTCATAGGATTTTATATATGAACCCCAAAAGGAGCTACTTTAGGGCATATGGGTAGGAATGCTAATGATTATCACAAAGATGTTCAACATAGATAACAACAACAACGGTAATGAGCGCGATACTGATGATGATGATGATGCTGATGATAGTGCTGTTGTAGTTTTGACAGTAACATTCATCATAATGATACCAATAATAACCATGATTACAGCCATCAGAATATGACTGAATAGCAAGAACAATATTGCCATATTCGTAATAGTGGCAATAGCCATCATCGTACGTAGTAATACTTATACCCGCTAAGGGGTTCGTAGTATCCGGTGTGCTTTTCTGTGAAGGGCTTTGGGGTTTGGGGAGGGCTCTATAAGCACACTGTTTTGGTTATCAAAAGGGGTACTATGAGGGTGCTATAAGGGTTGAGGGTACCGGGTATCAGGGTTTAAGATGGGTGCAGGGTTAGTCTGATAATGTCCTGGAGAGTTTGGGCGAGTGTGCAGGACTGTTTATCTCCGATGTTTTTGGCTCCGAGCTTTACTCAGTTGATTGGGGATTAGAGCCTGAGAGCTATCGGGTGTAGGGTGGGGTTCGATGCTTAGGGATGCCTAAAGTTGGCCAGCTCAATTCACACATTCAGGAAATCGTTTTCGAACCGGATTTTGCTCCCAGAAGGACTCCAGCAAAGGGACACAACGCGACAGCAAAGTTGCAGAACTCGAAGCTACTGTTGGTCTTTTGTTTGCCGTGGGGCTCTGAGAGTCCTGGGCTACAGCGGCTCGGTCGTCTTTTCCTTCGCAGCTCCGCTTTGATTTTTTTGGGTTGACATCCAAGCTTAGCTTACAGCGTGTAAATTACCCATAGGCACCATAGTAGTTCCTTTTTGGGGTTCATATTTAGAATTCTGTTAGGTAATCCCAAAAAGGAACTACTATGGGGCCTATGGGTAGAGGGTTTGGAGCTTCAGCGTCGCTACACGACATGGGCTTAAAGAAGTCCGGGTGTGCTCACCACTCCCTTCCCCGACCGAGATTCTCCCAGGTGAAGTCCATAGCCGGCCAAGATGTCAGCACATGGGACTTCTGGGACATCCTCGAAGCTTTGGCTGCAGAGATGGGGGGATATACCGCGTAGTTTCGGACAGAGTGGTCTTCTAGACAAATCTTCAGGGCTTTCAGTGTAGGTTGCGTAGGGCTGCCTCTGAGGTGTCATCGGGAACATAATTACAGGGATTTGTTTGAGTGCTCAGGCGTGGTTTATTCTGGTACGGTGGCCACTGCTTCAGCGAATCACAGATCAAGCTTGATCGTGTATCTTTTCTGTCGCGTTGACAACCGGCATGTTGCAGTATCCTGCATTGTCACCTGCTACGTTGCCTACACTACACCTTTTGCATCCGGGCTTGGGAAGTCGGCCGGGAAGCGTTGCCTACACTACTTGAATCTTTTTCAGCCTGTTGGATCGTGTGGAAACTCGGGCGACTTCGACAGGTCCCTGTGTGTTGCAGATATTCGCAGGCCGCAACATCCTAAATTTCGAACTCTCGAACGGCGCAGCACCGTAAACCCAACTCATCGATACCCTTGGCAAGGAGATGCCGATGTACTCCAGTAGAGCAAGCCCGAAGCGCTGAGAGCCCCAAGACTGAGTCCGTTGCCGCTCCATTCAACACAAACTTGCCGTAAGAGAAACGCGAGGATCTGCTTGATGACAAGATCCTTGACAACTCTGCAGGCGCTCTGGAGGGCGGAGTTGAAAGAACGTGTCATCTCAATGTCAAGATCAGTCGACGCCCTCGCAGACAAAAGAGGGCTTCAGCACCTTCCGAAGATGCGAGCTATAGTAGCTCCAGTCCCCGGACTCATCAGTTGGAGACCTGGAGGCATTTTCCAGTCCAGTGGCAGTGGTGGTATGGGGAACAAGCCTGCTGAGCTTCCCGTTGCGGTAGAGCGCCTGGGCTGTGAATGGGTACTGCAACTGCACACAACCACCTAATTAGAAAGTATAGTCAGTATAGTATAGTTCCCGATTACTATATATATATATATATATACACATATACATATATATAAATATAAATAAATAAATATAAATATAAATATATATATATATATATATATATATTTGTATATATATATATATATTTATTTATATATATGTAGACTTTTATAGCACTACAAGCCCTCACAGCCCCTGACATCCCAAGCCAGACCAAGGCCTCCCGACTTCACGGGCCTACTTGCACTCCTCTAGAGCTTTGCTGCGCTAAACTTTGGGGATTCCGGGAGGTCCCATGGTCGTGCATGTGAATATAGGGGCCTTATAATGATTACCTATACTTGTTTGGGGGCTTCCTTGTCATAACTATAGACTATAGCGTACTGGAGCCCAAACCCCTATATTCCCTGCAATGCGGGCTTGTCCTTGCTAAGTCTGAGGCAAAAAAAATCATTATAAGGCCCCTACATCATCCATGAGCTCGTGCTGTTCAGGGTTTCGAGAGGCTGACGCGCGGACGGCGTTCACGGAGGTCAGGTGGACAGTTCTTAGAACTTTTGGTGGGCCAACTGTGAAAGAAGCCGGACGTTCTGAAGTCGGCGAAGATGCAACCCAAGTCTTGTAAACAGGTCGACAGAAGCAATTACATCACCTAGCAGCCAATCGAGCACTAGCCCGAACAGTAAGGCTAATAACGGTAGCTCTCACCCTAACCCTAAACCCGAAGTCTTAAGCCCCTAAACCTTAAACCCGTGTGAGCGCCGAAACCTTAAACGTAAATAGGTACGTGGCAAGTGACAGACGGTTCTGGTGACAAGAAGCTTTGAGCGAGAGATCTGAATGAATTAGGCGGCATTTTGCTGAAAAGCATGGCGAGCTCTTTCAAAATGATAGAGCAGTGAAGAGTTCCTGAAATGAGGGAGCTCCATGGAGTCTTGTATCTAAACTCTGCCTGAATTCGGCTTTCAACTTTCTTCAGTCCCAAATTGAACCTCGCCGTGAGTATAGACCTCATTCATGCGAGAGGGAAAAAAATAGGTACGTGGAGTTCAGCTCCATGGGAGGAGCCGCACCTGCGGCTCCGGCCGCTGGCAGCTCAGCATCTCCGTGGCATTAGAAGCCCTGAGGGGTTCCTTCTTGGGATTCATCCATGTCGGGGCCCAAATTCGTACCTGTACTGTTTTGGGGGTTCCTTATCATAATTATAGTAGAGTGGGCCCCAAGACCCTTTTCTAATTCTTAAGGCCCCTACATTACAGGGATTCCTTGAAGGCTTGAAGGGTTCCTCATTGTTCCTCCCTCTTTCGGCTTTTTCGATCTCGCTCCTCCGAAACGAGGCTGCGAATCGCATTGTCGGTCTTAGCCGTCTGTGCAGGTTCCCATGGGTTTCCGCAAGATTGCTCAAAACAGAACCCAGGCGACTCATAAGGCAATCGCTGGCACCGGGGCTGCTAAACAACTGCGCGGTAACCACTGTTTCGATGAAGCTCATGCTTCTACTCGAATTGGCTTTCACTCGACTCTGAACTCTAAATGGCTCTAAACCCAAACCCTAAACCCGTGGAAGACTGTTAGGAGCAGTTCGTCGACACCCGAGACGAGCGTTTCAAGGACCTGCCAAAGGATGCCACGATCAAGGACCGGGGGAGAACGGGGAAGAGGCATCCTGAGCCTTAGGATGTTGGTTATATGAGCTTGGCCTTATAGTATATATATATATAATATAATATATAACATAATATAGCATAGCAAAGTATAGCATAGTACAGTATAGTAGTCAGTATAGATTTTCGAGAGTCGTTGAGTCGTTGCCTCCTTTCTTGCACAGCCTCTTCGAGCTCCCTGTTCTGGCACATGCAACGTCGACGTTGTGAGGGTAGCCCAAGAAAGGCCCGAGTGACTGGATGTGAAGACCACCCATGGCGGGGCCGTCTCTTCGCCCCTGCTCCTCTCGGAGAAATGGGAAGTTTGGCCATGGCAGCCGGTTTCCTTAACCTCCAGGTACCTACTATATAGGGCCCTAGGGGCCCCAGTACCCTATATAGTAGGGACCTGGGGGGTTAGGGTTTCCTACTGTTCTATGGCATCCTGTGGTCGGGTTGCCGCTGGGTTGCATCGGCCCCACACTTCCAACGCATCCCTGCAGGAGTACAAGATCCCTCCAGCACCTCCTTCCTACACGAGCACTGTCGTGGAGGGCTTGTGGCCTGGCCAAAAAGCGAAATTTGTGGACCCTGCAACAGCACCAGCTTTTGTTCGAAGCTTATACCAGAGTTGTTGTGGAAGGTCCCTGGTACCTGTAGGGTGGTTTGTGAGGGGTCGGCTGCATGGCTAATGTCGTGTCAATGCCAGAGAATGCAGATGTTCTCGTGAGGTGTTGCATGAAATGCCAGTATTGATTGCGCAGATATTCAATAATTACTACCGCTGTTTTGTGCTAAGTTACTAAGGCGAAGTGCAGTCGCTGCCATGCCCGATCCCGTTGGCCACGCTGGACCTCGCTACCAAGGCCCGCCACTTAACCCTAAAGCCTAAACTTGAGCCAGCATTGGGGCTTTGTGCGCCTGCCAGGCAAGGCGTCGCTGAATGAAGCCAGCATCCGCCAGATGCTCGCTCAGTTCAAGATGCCTAGCTGCATCGAGACAGTCCTGTCTCCGGTAACCTCTCCGCTTCACAGCACTTGCACCTCAACCCCATGCCCCAAACCTGAAACCACCATGCCGTGGTGCCTTGCCTGCTACGAGTGTGAGCGCCGAAACGCAATGCCAAGGACCGGACAGATTCTGCCGATGAAGGATGCGTACCAGTTGGCTATCGACTCTTTGCCATCCTCGGAGGGTCCACGAGGTGTTCCGAACTTCGATACTTCGGGGTTTCTGATGCACCTCTAGACGCAAAACCCTACATTTTTAGGGCTCCTTCTTACGGCTGTTATGTTAAAATGATACCGGCTTACAGGCAGGGTTTAGGAGATTTCAAGACGCCGACGATTGAATTCTACACGCCGTAGTCGACAAAGGAGCGGCTCCGTCCGTACATCGGCCGAGTTCATCGTGAATTCAAGCCGGCTTCAGGGTCTGCGGTGGACATGCATGCCTGAAAATCCAACAGAGCATAACGGCCATTCCTACTGCAATTTCGTTGACATTTTTGTTGCTGCCTGTGCGAGTGTGTACGGACAGACACCACCAGCATCATCGCCATGCGCATTATCAGCACCACATTTCTGTCGAGAATGCAAGCTTCGACCATCGTGGTTGTAATGGTACTCGTCGTTGTGATAGCATCAGCATAAGCGGCAGCAGTTTTTGTCTTCGTCGACATCAGCATACGGGCCAAAGCAGGCAGGCTTCACTTCCTCATCTTGTTCCCCGAAGTACACATCGCCATACCCATAGGCCCCATAGTAGTTCCTTGTTTTGATTACCTAAGAATTAGAATTCTAAATATGAACCCCAAAAAGGTACTACTATGGGGTTTATGGGTAGCCATAGCCGCATCTCGCATTCCTCAACGCGACCAGCTTCCCTGCTGCATGCACGTAAGGACGCCTACGACATCCTCGTGAAGGAGAAGACCCTGGGACGAGTGTCGGTGCCGGTAGGGAAGAAGGTGGGGTGAAAAGGCATGTAAGCCCGTTCACTTGTGTCCTACTCTAGACTGGACCTGAACCCAAAGGGCTGTTCCCTAGTGAGAGGGTGCATTTCGGTCTTGCTCGACAGCGCCAAGATCAAAGTGTCGCCTAGTGGTCGGGGGCCACTCAACGTTATGTGTTTGTTGTTTTGCCTGTCGCTGTGGTTTGTCTCTGTGTGCTCCCTAAACCGAAAACACCGAAGTTGGGGGAAACCCTAGACCCTAGGGCTGATGGTTTAGGCCTTGAGGCCCCTGCACGCCTTACTTGCAAGGATCTTTCTTCTCCTACATCGCAGGCGAATGCAAACGCGATGTGCAAGCACCCGCAAACACCTAAACCCTTTTAGCCCCAGATACTGACCTAAGGCTAAGACCTTCGCCGGCCTTGCCCCTCAGGCCGAATCCTACAAACCCCGAAGCCTCGAGCCTCCAGATAACGAAGCCCTCTAGCTCTACATCCTGCTATTATCAGCCCGAAGCCTTGTAGAACCGAAACTGAACCGCCCCTTTCAAAAACAAAACATTAATTTTGAAGCACCAAAAGACGAACGTAAATCCTGACCCACCCCCCACACCTCAAAAGGAAAGCAGCGCCTCCATGCAGGTCACCGTAGTTGGCGACCTCCATGGTCAGTTGCATCTCGCCGTTCGAGTTCAACTGTGTTTTATTGTTGAGATCCTAAGCTCGTTACTAGCTTTTTATAGGAACCCCCTACAGAAAGCCTTATGATAAAAGAAGCTCCTGTATAGAACGTCGTGATACCGTAGAAGCCCTTATAGAAGCCCTTATGACAACAGACATCGCCTCCCTTGTCATTACGAAACAAGGAACCCAGCTGAAGTCTCAGGTCATGCGCTCGATTTTATTCAGGGCATTAGGGTCCAAAGTCTAAAGGTACCGTTGTTGTTTCGAGTTCTGTGTTTCGAGGGCTAGGGTTTGACATGACGGTCGAGACGATCGGTGTGTTTTTTTTCCACGAGGTCCCACTGATTTCGCTAAAAAGGATATATTCATATTATAATCTGTATATCTGTATATTATATATATATAATATATATATATATATAATATATATATATATATATATATGCGTGTGTAAGTCTACCCGCGCTAGCCAGCTACATTGGACCGGACCTTATAATGGTAAGTTACCCTCGGCTGAGAAGTGACATGCCGACCTCCCGCCCTCCGTTTCAGAGAAGGGGGAAGCAGATGCAGATGTTTGCAGTAAGTGCAGGAAATGCCCCAAACGCTGCACCCTCCGTAAGCGTGGCGGTCGGAAAGGGTGCGGTTCAAAAATGCAAAAGCCAAGCCCAAACCCCTAAACCCTAATTTATAAAGTGGGAGGGAAAAAAACCCTTCTAGTAGTTTGGCTCAGGTTCGACTTCGATCACATGCTGAGCCTAGCAGGATTCCCATCGCCAGACAACCAGCACCGTGGCGACGGTTGAGCGTACGAGTAGTTCTCTAAAGTAGGGCCCCTTTTAGGGTCCCGTTGTATAATGGTGCCGTACTAACAAATTGGGGAACTGAACAGGGACCCTGATTTAGAGAACTACCCATATACCAGATGGGCCTGAACAATTAGCAGTGTTTTTTTTCCCCCCTTGTGATGCCTTCATAGTTCTGCTCTGACATACCCCAGATGCCTACTCAAAACTGTTGTCCAATCCGATCATGGGGTCGCGGTCTCATTGTTGTGGTCCCCGGGTGAGACTTGGTGACTGCTAGGCTTGGACAAGAAGCAAAGCGAAACGTTGATGCAAGTTTGTGGGCGGCCGATCTTAGCGCTTGGGATGGTTTGGGTTTCTAATTTAGTGGTTTCAAAAGGGGAGCCCATAAAAAGGATCCATTCTTTCTCTCCACAATTGTATAGCAGGTGCCCAGTAGATATGAGGGAACTTCTGAGGCGCCGTCACCCAGGTTTCAAGCTTCCGGTCCCATCTGTCACCTTCGCGGGTGTGTCTCAACAGAATGAATTGGCCTCAGAAAACAGCACTGCCTTGTAGGGACACAAGATGTAACCTTTGTGTCAACTCGTAGTCTGGACGGAGTTGGCCAAGTGCGACTGCCGAAACAGCTACTTGTGCGCAACGAAGCACCGCGCAAAAGTCACGTGCTGTCCGAAGCCCATCTCAACATCGGCCTCGCCCTTGCAACTCTTCCACAAGAAAGCCCAACAGCCCCCAATTCTCAGGATACCTGAGAACCTGGAGGCTTCCCCTCTTCATCATCATTCGTGTTACCCATATGCGAGCAGCCGTGTAGGAATGTATCTAGAGCCATACTAGAACCTCGGGGCTATGGTCTGAACCAGGTAGTATACTTGCTAACTTGTTCCCACCCAAGCTATCACCCTCATACCATGTTCTAACGAACATCTGCAGTGTATGATCCCTGCTGCCTTGTTTAAAGGCTTAGCTGCTATCTATATATATATATATATATGGCATATGGCGTACTGGCACACCCTCATGCAAGGACCACTTTTTTGTTGTTCCTGAGGCGCAGCCTTCAGCAGTATGTCATAGTCTTCTTCGATGTTCCAACGGTTCTCTCCCGGCATAATAGTTTATAGTTCCAGACCTGCAAACTCTGCTGGTTTTGTGACCGTTGCCAGCGTATGAAAATGTTCCACACACAGAGCAGCAAACTCGAAGCCCTCCCGCCCCCAAAACAAAAAGTAAACCCGAGACCCCCTGAAGACCCAGAAAGCCTCAAATTACGAGCCCGCAAACCCTGAACCCTGAAAGCCGTACACACTGGCAAACCATGGGTAACAAGATGACGAAGGTTCCTTTTCAACGGCGACTTTGTGGATCGTGGCCCTTGGAGTGTCGAGGTGATTTTCACCATCCTCGCTTTCAAGGCTGATTTTGGGGCTTTAGGCAGTGTAGGGCTTCAGGGCTTAGGGCTAAAGCCAAAAAGTAATTATGAACAGGTAAAATACACACACACACATGTGCATGTGTATGTGTGTATATATATATATGTTCATATATGCGTATTCCATTTGTGAGGCTTGAAGTTTTGCAAGCGCTGGGTTAGAGCAGACCAAATTCCGCGGACCCCTGAGCCCGAAGCAGGTTTAGGGTGAAGGCGACTTTAGATGTTAGGATTCCGGAGTGACGCTTGGGCGGTTCATGGGTTTCAGGATTTATAGCGGGCCATGCTTGACGAGAGCAGCTACGAGCCAACACCATCGAAACCCAGAGTAACCTTGGCATTGGCGGCAATAAGCACCATTGAGTCATTGAGGAGGGTCCGGAATGCAGTTATCAGCACATCCCGCCTTAATGTCAACATCCTGGCCATCATCGTCATCCTCATGGCCGTCTCTAGCAACAACCTATTGTCTCACCCTTGCTCAGATGCAGTTTCGGAAGGTCTGGCAACCAAACGGCGTCTACATGAACCGCGGAAACCACGAGGCTGGGTTTCCGACAGTTACTGGTGGCATCCATGATTTCAGCACTTTGGGATGCACGCGAACTCAGTAGAACGGTGGGCCAGGGAGTGTAGTCGAGGCTTCGTTCGAAGCTCGTTCCCCCAAGGCCGAGATGGCAAACCACTTCTATGGCTTCTTCGGCGAGTTGGAGGTGAAGTACGAGCTTCTTAGCCGCAAGTCTTGCTCCACTGCCATGACCATCATCGCCTCGCCATGTCTGCTTCTACGATTACTATTTCTTCTGTTGCTACTAGTACGAGCGAGTACTGGTACTTCCTTGTACGAGGCTTAGTGCCAGCAACTTTAGTACGTGTGCTACTACTTCTGATGCTGTTGCTGCCACTGCTACCACTGCTGCCGCTAGTAGTAGTAGTAGTAGTAGTAGTAGTAGTAGTAGTAGCAGTAGCAGTAGCAGTAGCAGTAGCAGCAGTCGTAGTACCGCATGTCCCCATGATTCAAAGGAAGCGCATGATCGATCTCTTCGCAGAGATCTTCAGGGCCACACCTTTGTGCCACGTGATCAACGACGAGGCCTCGTTCTGATGCTCTTACGTTGGACCTGTTGCCTTGTAGGTTATCCCGGCAGCTGATGGAACCTTCGTTCATTCTTTATGGCAGGTCTTCGTCGTTCATGGAGGCATTCCGGGCCCTGACCCGCGCGTGTGGTGGAAGGGCATGGACAACCAGATCAGCTCCTCGGCTAGCAGTTCCTGTTCGGGCGCAGTTCGGGCATTGCTGTGGATTAGCCGTTGACGCTGGTTCCGGATGTGTGACGGTATCTGGTAGCTCCCATACCCAGTATGTCCTATCTTTACTTACTGCAACTAGAAGGATCTGCCTTCGGGTCAATGTCAGGCTTCGATGGTCGTCAGATCCAGATCAGCCTTTCCGAGCCACGGCATGATCAAGGCGCATAGATGTCCGATGTTCCCCGGACGTCGTGCAAAGGTTGCAACCGCTGCCTACTTTATGGCGTGCCACAGAGTCAGGAGGAAACATGGCCACTGCTGAACAGATGTACTACGGAGCATCAGTTGCCGGACACGTCATGTGGTCGGTGGACATGACTGTGCGGCAATGGTGATGGTGGAACCGCTCCGAGCCTGACATGAATCATGGCAGGAGACAGAGTCACACAGAGTGAAGGCGAGAGAGCCGGCGAAAACCATATCATATGTACATGACCCCATGATTCGACATTTGTCCACACATGCAGCCTCAGTTCCAATCAAGATATAATGACTTGCCTGCGTTATCTTAGTTCAAGGAAATCGAGAACTCCAACCGCTTCATGGAGCCAAACCCAGACGAGAATCCGCTGATGGTTGCCGCGGGCCGAGAAGTACATGGGAATTCCGGAAAGTCCTTACGATAAGGATCCAGCATCTAGTGTTCCATAGCAGGGTTAACCCTTTTTCGAAACTCCCGCAAATAGTTTGCAGTTAACGCAGGCTGGCTGGGCATTTGTACATTTATTTTGTGCCTGCGTGTGTGTGTGTGTGTGTGTGTGCGCATGCATATGTGTACATGTGTGTACATGTGCACTCGTGTATGTATGTCCATGTATACCTTCACGCATATCATACGTATCTAATAAGAATATATATATATATATACACATGCATATATATACATATGTGTGTGTGTGTGTGTTTGTGTGTTTATATGGATTATCACATGTATGTATATGTATGTGTATGCATGTATGTATGTATGTGTGTATGCATACAAACTTGCATACATAGATAGATACCTAGGTGCACTTAGATACATCCGTTCACTCATACCTGCATTCCTACATACGCACATACCTCCGTAAGTTCCATACATACAAACATCGTACATGTATGTGTGTAAACAGACCGTAAACTATATAAATGATGTGAGTCTTCATGCTTGCATGCATGTAGTCTGTCGTGCTGCAGCTGTCAGTGGTCCTTTTCCTGTTGGCGCGTTTCTTACTTGAGGAGTTTCGGCAAGCTGATTGAAGCGAGCAAGCTTTGTCCGCTCACGCGATTGAGGATCTGCTATGGTCCGACCCGAAGGGCAAGGATGGTTACGGCCCATCGGGGCGCATGTCCTCCGGCATTTACCTGCCGCTTGACTCAAGCAACGAGGACTGCCATGGATGCAGCAACAACAACAACAGCAAGCAAGATACACACGGCTTGCCACAAGAGCGCAAATTGGAGTTCAAGCAGGAACCTCGGTACCTTTGCGAATTTCCGAGAAGCTTTTAATTTTTCTTGTACATATGCCTAAGTTTTCGGCGCCTAAAAAATGTCACTGGAAAGGTTCGGACCTGATGTGTCCCGGAACTTCATGGAGTTCAACGGCCTGAAGACGCTTGGCTTCACAAGCTGGATTGTCACTCCCATAGCAGGTAGTCACGTTTGCGCCTTGTGTTCAAGATAGAGCATGATACATAAGCCCAGGATTTCTGTCCATGCCCTTGGTCAGAGTAATGCATATGTGTATATATATATATATAGATATAGTTTCGTATCTGTAGGTTTGTCATTGTGTGTATGTAAGATGTACATCACTCTGTCTGTGTATATTTATATATACATATAATTATGGTGTGTATATATATATATACGTATCTATATATATATATATATCTGTGTGTACGTTTCCGTGGATGTCTATCTACAGCTCTAATCAACTGAGGATGACGCTTCGCTCCCATGAGGTCAAGGCAGGCTTCTTGCTTGACGCAGAAATCGACAGTTTAAGATTTATGGTTTAGGTTTTCATTCAGAGGGACATTGGCCGGGCGAGCTCCAATCAAGCCTGTGTAAAACAAGGTCTTCATTCAGGTTCAGGACTTCGGGTTTCAATGTTTAATGTTGAGGGTTGCAGCAGAGGGAGCTCCCGGCTCCCGGGCGACCAGGCAAGCCGGCTGCAAAAAGGATTGAAGCGTTGCAGCCCGGAGGCACAGGGGTACCGCTTTGACCACGAGGGGGCCTACCCGCTCATCACCGTCTTCTCGGCGCCGAACTACGCTGCTGGGCAGAAGGTAGCAATGCATGTGTCAGAATCGTTTCGCAGTTTTGATGCAGAACATGAAAAAGATTCTATACCAACTTTGGTCATCAGTTCGGAATGCAGCCGATATTTCACTGGGGTGTCGGCGGTGGCCTTTTCAACGGATCAGGTCACCAGGACTGCAGTTTGTCAACGGTTTCGTTGAACACCGAAGGGTTTCCAAGATGAGTGGTGCCTCGAACGTATAGGCCCGATTCTCAGACTCTTAAATGAGTGTCGACAACAAGTTGTATTGTATTCAAGGACTACATACCCCACCCCTGCTCCACACGTGTGTGTGTTGTGCAGGCACTCTGCCTTCAGTGTTCGTTTGCAAGTGCCGAAACCTATTTGGGTTTCAGAGCCCGGAAATGCCCGGAATCCTAAATTGATCTGAATTCCCTAGACCCTATGAATGTCATCTAGCCCTCAACCAAGGTTGACAAGGCTGGCAACATGGCCTCCGTCGCTGTGCTGTGCCTTGACTCATTGGTGATTCGAGTGGACGTGCAGATGTGCACTCCGCATATCATTGCGCATGTGTTCTTGTTTGCAGGCATGAAAACACCATGCATGCGATCAGGCACGAAACAGGCATGATAAAGATCTCTCTCTCTCTCGCTCTCTCTCTTTTCCTCCCTCCTTCTCGCTGTATCTGTGGATCCGAGTGTTTGGTGGGCGTTCGATACAGAAATGAAACAGGTCCTGTGCGCCTATGTCTTGGCCACCGTCCATGCGTAAGCAACAACAAAGACGGGGCTGCTAAAGCGCACATACTATCACTACAAACAGATATGCGAACGCATACAGTCGGTTTGAAGAGGCGTGCTTGTCCCGAACGTGGCCTCCAGACTTTTCAAAGGGTTTCAAGGTCGATGCAAAACGCAATGACAACAGAAGGAGCTGGGGGTGAACTGCTTGGAAGGTCCATGAGACGCCCGGTCTTGAAACAACTGGTCTCGAACATGTCCTGAGGTCAGCTGGTCGTCTTACAGTGTGTTACAGAAGTCACTGTTGGTCTTTGTTCCTATGGTATTAGCCAAGAACGCATACTATCGTAGTCTTATTCGGTTGCACAGTTACTGTCGGCACACTCATTGTTTGTTAGCTGCACTGATACTTTCGACACACTCATTGCTTGTTGAGCCATACGTTGTTTTCTCTAGGGGGTCCTGAGTGGGTATGTAGTAGAGTGTAGGCTAGGGTTTCTCGGACAGGAATATAGTTTGGTGTTTGTGTATAATTTATAAGTTTGTATCACCCGTACCGCTACTCGGGATCCTTGGGGACATATTTCAGGGTTTAGGGGTCTAGGGTTTAGGACTTCTGGAGCTGTCAACTGCTGCATGTTTTGAAGCCATGCCAGACTTGAAGTTTTGCTGTAAGCCCCTCGTTTGGTTCCCAGCAGCGGCTTTTGCAGGCTGAAAGCAAAAGGGATTAGGAGTCTTCTGTGGCATTGCGCCTACATCCTTGCTACTACGAGTGCCTGTAAGGACCAACGACGGCGCAAAGATGGCCGGTCCCGAGTTTGTGCAGTATTCTGCCCAGCCACACCCGGAAACTTTTCGAGCAACTAGCAGCGGAGTGGGGAGGAATGGGTTGGGTGGGGGGCCTACTTGGGAGTTTTCTAGGCCTTATATACACACTTGGCAGGGTTGAAATGTTTGAATTGAAACGTTCCTGCTTCTTTGTGGTGTCAACGAGTCCACGTGCAAGAATCGTGAAGGGGAGTGTTGGGGTGTAGAGTCTAGAACTTAAAACTCGCGATATCGAGCTCCTGCCTCAGTCGGATACTTGTAGGATTCAGGCGAAGTTCCAGATGTTCATGTCTTTTCGGTGAACGGTTTCATCGTGCATAGTGGCCATCACCCATATCATCAACATCAACTTCGATAGTTTCTGAAAGTCGGGTGCCGGGGGTTCCCTCACAGAAAAACTCGAAGCCCTGGAAGCCCTCTCCTACAAGCCCACGCCCGAGCCGATGAACCCATAACTCGGATGATGGAAGCCCAAGCTACAAGGAAACCTTTCACCACCCCGAAACCCAAAACCTGCGTCCTCGTTTCTCTGAGAAACTCCGATTCAGCCGCTGGTATCTCCGGAGCTCAGGATGTGCCTTCCGGCGCCTATGCCGTCGGCGGCCCCCTGCACCCCGAGAGTGCTGCTGCAAGGTAAACGACGCCGGGACGAGAAATGCGGCTTAGGATTTAGGGTATAGGGTTCAGATGCAGTGCAGTGTCTATACCACTTTCTGGTCGCTGCATAGAGAGGTGTGGAGTTGCGAAGTGGAGAGAGCGTTGCCCGAGAGCCAGAGACCTCAACGCCAGAGCCTAATATAGGGGCCTTAGTAATTAGCCTATACTATTTTGGGGGGTTCCTTGTTCTAAAGACAGTATACCATACCCCAACACTCTACTCTATCTATTGAGGCCCCTGTTTTATTCATAAATCTCGACAGGGGAAGGATTTCAGGATTGCGGCCTATATAGCTCTGATGTTGCCTTAGCCTTTGGGTTTCCGGGTCCGATCCAAGGGCTTTGGGAGTACAAACCGGCATTTACATAGTGAGCTTGCGAGATATGACTCCTCGAACACAAGAGCTCAGCTTACTAATCATCATGTTATCTAGAATACTATACTTTTTATATGAATATACATGTATATATATACACACATATTATACATACGTACACACATACATACATGTGTATATATAACACGCATTAACATAAACCGACATTTACATGTCAGCGTGCATCTATACATATCATAAGCACTGTTCTTAAAAGCTGTGCTTTTCGGGCGCCTGTTTTGATTTGTGTAGATGATAGCTTGCCGGCTCTGACCAAGGCATCATCACCCAAGAGGAGCAGCTGCTTTTTCAAAAAGATGTGCTCTCCTACAGTACTGTAGTCACTCTGCTTGACATGCCCCGGCATGTAATTACGGACAGTGTAATCTTTAGTTCTGATGGGTCCGGAATAGCTGGAGAACAAAACCTTTCAGAAGCTGTCGGCAACATCGAAGCCTGAGTGAGTACAAAAATCTATTCCTTATTGGGTTCCTGGCTATGACCATTTTACTAGGGCCCTTATATCAAGAAATTCCGGATCTTCAGAAGCCCAGGAAAGAGTTGGCTGCTCTGCGAATGTGCACAGCATGACATTTGAAAGATTATGGGCTTAGGGTTTATAGGTTTCAGAACCTCCTTAAAGCGACTTGAATTGATGATTACGAGTAGTAGAGCTATAACAATTTACTAAACCCTCTGAACCCTATGAACCATAAACCCAGAGACCTTACCTTCACGAATTGTCTCTTCTCGGAGGCCGCCAGCCATTCCTGGTTTGCAAGTAGTGTTTAAGTCACTGTTCTCCACCTGGCTGTCCCAATTTTCCGAAAAGGCAGCGCAGGGTCGCAGACGTAGACAGATCGCAGGCGCGCTGCGGACTGCTTGGCAAAAGAAGCTCAGCGAAACAATGGTAATGCAAAAGCCTGGATAAGAAGTAGTATTATTCCTTGGGGTTCGTAAATCGTCATCGTAGAATCCGACCCTAGTTGTTGAGAGCCCTACAGTACTCAGTCGGAGCTCCAGCTCCAACAGCGCCGCTGACAGATAGCTTCATAGCCCCACCCCACACGAATCGGTTTAGGGTTTCCCCTGGGAGATCTTCCTCTTAACCCTTATAAACCCTAGATCGTCGAAGGCTTGACAGCAGATAGTAGAGCCCGGGATCCGACGGCAACAGAGATTGAAGAGTTCTTCTAGGTCGGGCTTTCTGATCCTTCTTTCGGCTTCTTTGGGTTTTTAGGACATAGGACCTTTTTTGATATGGGGTTTTTAGCAGCCAAGACATGTTGGGAAAAACACTGCCCTGTATCCGGGGGATCCTTGCCAGACTACATACAGTACCATCAAGAATCAAGAAACGGTAGGATCCCAAAGCTAGAACAACTCCAAGATCAGGAGTCTGCACCCTTTCGAGGAGAGGCTTACTGGGGTCAAGCTCCGTCTGCTGCACAGTTCTGTAGCCCCGTGCCTTCGACGGATTAGGATTAGAAGCTGTGTCTACAATTTCTGAATCAAGACCGACCTATAGCAGCTATGCAGATAGTGTAAACACTGTAGCAAGTGACAATTAAGTGACAAGCTCGTAAAGAAGGATGTCGGCTAGTTTAAGGTAGTAACTTCGCGTTGCCCGAGACAGGCCGCTACACAGCAGCACGGCGCACGTGCTGAAACGAGCATTCGCAGCGGAATTCTGGGAGGCGGGGCGTTGCTTCGTTTGCCAGGAAGCCAAGGCTTAACAAACAGCAGGTCACCGTAGGAAGACCCGTGGTACAGCAGGTTTGGCCGATGTGGCGCAAGTGGGGTTTCTGGGCTGCCAGGTACCTGGAACTCTTGAATGAACGTGCCGCTGGTGTTCTGTTTTGGCACCCGGGAACATCACGGAAGAATCGCGAACAAGTTTTCGAGGCAGCACGATGGGTAAATGTAAACCAACAAAACCAGTCGTCCATAGCTACGTATACTGACTGGCCGGGACAAACTCCAAACGCTACATCTCTCTCTCTCTCTCTATCTATCCAGGCATCCATCTACCTGTCTATCTATCTATGTATCTATCTATCTAACTAACTTTTTCAGTTATCCATATCTATCTATCTAACTATCTATTTACTGTCCAGTTATCCATATATGTATCTATGTATATATATATATATATTATATATATATATATGTATATATATATATATAAATATATGTTGCCCCAAATCGTGAGAGGCCGCCACTTCCCAGTCTCCGACGGCGTTGCTGGCAGCCCGGGCACCCAGCACATATGTATATGTATACATTCATGTACTTATACTTGTATTTATATGTATATGTTTTTTATATGTATATATGGGCGGCGACCATCGCACGGTTCGTTGCCGGCATGACCCAACAACATTGAGTGTTTTTGCATTTATGAAGCTCTCGAGTTTAGACAAGCGGTTGTTGTTTGCAAGCAGGAGCGCGACCAGGCGCGAAGCTCTGGGATGTGCAGACTGACGGGAGCTCGCTGCCAGCACAAGCTTGTGACTTCCGTAGTAGGAGAGCCTTGCATGCCCTGACCCTACCTTTCTGCCGAGTGACATGTCGTCCATCTCTTTGGTCAAGCTCATATTCCTTCGCGATGTTATCGTGGTTGCTTGATCTTCACTTCGTAGACGACCTTTACAGCTCCTAAGACGGCAAGGAGGTGGTTCGGTCTTGGAGAGCAGATGACGTGGCCAAAGTTCGGTTTCCCCTGTGGTAAGACAGTAGGGGGGGAGATGTCAGTTAGCAGGGCACCGGGCGAAAGCCCTTTCCACATGTCTGGGCACGTGAAATGACCTATACTGCAGACACACACTCGACACTTCTTCTTAACATTGCCATATGAAGCCGGCTTCGACTTGGCTTTATATGGTTTTTTGAGTGCCAGTGAGTGTATGTCGGGCTCCTGATCGCAGGATTTGCCGCTCGGTGTCGCAATGAGGATACTGGTGCTATACATTTTCTACATCAGACACTCCATTCCAACCTCGCGTCCGATTGCTTTTACCTGTGCTTCGCAGGTGTACACCGCACACCTGGCTGCTCGATGGCTCGGCCCAAGACTCAAAGAAATCACGCGACCCAACAGTTCAAGACGTTGCACTTGATGTCAGCCGCCATGTTCATGCACTTTCCAGCCTCTTGAACCCTCAACAGAAGTGTGTAAAGAGCCAGAGATGGGAAACAATATCCACTGTGGATCCCAAAGTTGTTGGAGCTGAACTTGTTGTCGGGCGTGCCAGGTGTTATGTTACGGATGCCATTCTTTAGAAGTGCATCGAAATTAATACCGTAATGCCCCTACCGCTATTGGTTGCTTCAACATGCTTGAAGCGATTTTTCGGCCCCAGCACTCTTCCGGCTGCGCCCTAAATTACTTCCACTACGATGGTGGCTAGCTTGGTTTGGCGGTAGCTTCTGGTTGCAAATGCAAACAGACATCAACGAAACAAACCGCTGTGGCAACACTATCAGAATCAACAGCACCACGGGCATTTCATCACTATCCAAACCGCCTGCACCATCGGCGTCCTCATCACTGCCCACCACCATCAGCATCACTAGCCCCGCCACCGACGCAGACATCACCAGCATCAGGAGCATCACCATCATCCTGACAATCACTGACTGCGAATGCTAAACCCCGAACCGTTGCACTTTCTCACCCAGGATCTGGCAAGCTGCCACAGCTTCGTGGCAAAGCTTTGGAGAGCTGCCAGGCAGTGCTACCGTAGTGTATCATGTCGCGAGATTTCGCTGGCCACTTTGGGGTTAAGCCATCTGAAGGATTGAGACGCACATTTCTTTGGATCCTAGGTCTCGTTGGGACTACGGGTTAGGGCTGTAGATGATTTAGATGGAGAGAGGGAGAGAGAGAGAGAGAGAGAGAGAGTAAGGGGAGCAATCCTCTTGCCCCTAGCCCTGGCGAAAGAAAGAGAGAGAGAGAGAGAGAGAGAGTGAGTGGGAGTGGGAGTGGGAGTGGGAGTGGGACCGAGGGACCGAGGGACCTAGTCCCTGAACCCCCAGCGAGCAAGCCAGCAAGAGAGAGCGAGAGAGAGAGAGAGAGAGAGAGAGAGACAGTGCACGGCGGGGAGGCAACTCCCCACGACAGCCCTGGCAAAAGAAAGCGAGAGAAAAAAGAGAGAGCCAGAGAGACGGAGGGAAAGAGCATCATTGGCGGTGTGCTTGAGCACAGTCAGATGCAGTACGTTGAACTTTTGCTTGAGCTTGCCCCATCTGACACAGGCTTCTGGACGACATCAGCGCTCACGTGCCGAGGCAGTTGGGTCGGACCCGTTATAGGCAACAAGTTTTGATGGGGATGATGGCTCACCCACTGTAGGCCTACATACGGAAACGTGTGGTGCGATGCAGGCCTGTATTTCAAAGAATGATGCGCTGCAGATCATGGCTCTACGGCTTAGGGTGCGGTTCGGACTGCTCGTGATTTTACTTCGTTGGCAATGAGATCCAACACCTGGGCATCCTAGACCCTGGAGGGAAAATCCTGCTTTGTTTGGCTTCTCGGCCCTCGCATGCCTCAGGATCTACCGACCTTTGCGCCGTCACCTCAGACGGAGCTTGGAACCTC